TATTTTAATATTGTTCCATTTACAATTGAACAATTAAGCTTAATTCAAGTTCATTCCACTTATATCCACATTATCAAATTCTGATCCATTGAAATTGCATCTTACAAAATTTCCACCAACCAAAGAAGTATCTCTAATCCTTATATTCTCAAAGCTTTATTCTCTCAAATCCACTTTCATTTCAACTAATAAATTGAGTGAGTTCGATCCGCTTTAGATAAATCTCTCGTCAATGGCTGTAAGAAGTACTAGGAATTTCAAAAATTCAATTATGTTCTAATCATAAGATATTTATTTTATTAAACCCTTTCTAATTTAATCATTGTTCTCAGTTGAATAATTCTTCTTATTAAAGTCTATTTCGCTAACATTTTAAATCATCGAAGTGATAAATTTCAAATCAGTTTATTTTTTAAAGAACTCTAAACAATTAGTAATTTTCTTATTTCTCAGCATCTAAAGTAGCTCATTAAGGTAGGATCCATCAAAATACTTAGTCTATGTCAATACCTAATAGAAATCTTCCTTTCTGTTATAGACTTACTTAATTTCTTTCAATAATTGAATGTATTCTTATGAATGACTTACCTTCTTTTTCATGAAGGACATAATCCCTTTCAATTCTGTATTGAACTTTTCACAAAAAGTCTAAGTTTCTTTCCAATAATTCCTTGTAATTTCCAACTGCTTCAAATAAGATTTTTTCTAATCATTCCTATCATCGAATGTTTTTCCAATAATAATTGACACTAATTTTTCTAAATCAGTATTCGACAATTCTGTTGGACTCACATTGTTTTTAATGAAATTCTAATAGAACTTATCTTCCGTCTCAATCAAATCATACATCTGTTTTATTGATTCTTCTAATCCATCCCAAATTTATTTTAACTTACTTTAAGTTGAAGAGAGCATTTCTTTAAAATTCTTTTTTTACAATGTTAATTCAGATGTTTATTAAGGTTTCGAGTCATTAAATTTCTTCACCATTTCCTAAAAAATCTTTATCGGAACTGTGTGTTTTTTTTCCACTTCATGTTCATATGAGCATTCAACACATAATTTCCTTTAGCAAGAACACTTATGGGGAGCTATACATATTATCGAAACTTGATTTTGAATATGATGAGTGCAGTTCATAATCTTTTTAAAAATATATATTGAATTTCTATTACTTTATTTTATGTTTTATACTATAAATCAAAAAAAAGGTATCTTGC